CATGAACTTCAAGATTTTTGACCTCCTCAACACCAATCATACTAGATTCAACTAAATTTGTATCTTCAATGTCCTTGGCTGACTCTAGTATTACTTCTTCAACATCGGCATCCTCATATTCTAGTTGGATATAATGTTGGTGTTCTACTCTGACCTCATCCATTAGAACCTCAATTTTGGTATCTAATTCATGCTCTTCTTGGCTACTATCCACAATACTGGCTTGTTGAGCATTAAAATCTTCAACCAGTTGACCCACTTGAGCCTCCAAATTGTGAATAGTTGCCTCTTGCCTTTCTATCTGCAGTTGTTTCACATCATTTTGTTCTACAAGGAACTTTAACATATCTTTTTATCTCTTTCAGGTTAACATCCCCCGGTTCTTTATTCCTATTAACTTCACAAGAAAAAGTAGAACTATCATAATAAGGAGTTGGGGGAGGATAAGACATATAAGTACAACTATAAAAGTGACCATCTTGACCACCAAAAATATCACATACATTCCACACATAAGGTTGAGTTGGTGCACGTAACTCGCTCTTGAGAATATTTTGACAATTTTCCACAGGTGGTGTCCTCCACAATACGCACAAGGAAGATCAACAGTAGAATTACCAACATCACAACTCTCATAATTCCACGATGTCATGTTGCTCAGATTAACAAGTAAAAAAATATAAAAAATCAAATAATAGAAAATAAAATAAAAGTTCAAACTTGAAACCTAGTAATATGTACACCTACAGCTACACCGTTAGTGCCCCGGCAATGATGCCAAAATTTGATCACGCCCAACTCTAGTCCTAAAAAGGGATAACTGGTCGCTGCAAATATAATCCGATCTAAGATTCTGGAGTCGAATCCCACAGAGAACTAAGGCTTAGCTACAACTGTACACTATTACCAAGAAGACAAGCTTGAAAAATTCCTAAGTTATAAATATTAAGATTCTTATGTCTAACTAATTAACTAATAAATTAAAATAGTAAATTAACAACTAAAAATACTAAGGGTTGGAGACAAGAATAAGGAGGTCTAGAGTTATGATTTTCCCAATTGTCGGAATCCTTCCCGCTACGTCTTCTATAATTTTGCCTAATTATTCTCTACTGATCGTGAGCACTTCAGGTGTCGTAATTCTCTATCGAACAACTACAACAACTTACTAGACATATTCTCCCGAAATACGCTAGCTGGCACAATCTTACCGCTCACTATGACCACGTCAAGGCTTTGTTATTCCTAAACCCACCTTTAAATCTGCCGTATTAATTCCTCATATATGTTAGGAGTGACGTTGTTCAACAACTACCTAAGTATGTACCCCTTCCCAAGCAATACATAACAAATAGGCACAGTCAATTGATGGTCATTCAATCAACAGAAATAAGCACGTAGTTGAACAAGTAAAGAAATTTAAAGGCTAAATTATATTCAAACTTAACAAGAATTCATCCTCCAAAAGGTTCCATCAAAACCCTAAATAATAAATTAGTTACTCATAGTAGTATGTGAAAATACAATACTAAAATTCATGACCAACAATAGAAAATAGGAAGAAGAAAGGAAAAACTCGTGGTTGAATCTTCCTCCTTGTTCCTATTGTATTCTTGCCTCCAAAGGTGTTGTATAACCCTAAAGTAGTGTCTCCTCCTCCAAAGTTATGTAAATATAATGTTTAGCATGTATTTATATGACCTAGGTAGGGTGGAGGGTCGTCCAATACAATCCAATCTCGGATAGGAGAGCTGGAATCCGTGCCTGCCTTCGCGCGTCACGCGCCCATGGACGCAGACTCAGCTTTTGCAATTTTCCAGTTCGCGAAGCGATTTGTGCCTTCGCTTCACTTCGCTGTTTTATGCCTTCAGTTTTCTCCCTTTTTGCATCTGTTTTTATGCCACGCACGAGATTGGACGAGCTCCCAATTCTTTCCATCTCTTCCTTTTTGTGTCAAATTGTCATATTTTGATCATTTATCATCCAAACCCGTTCCTACACATAAGAAACACATAATGAGCATACTTCACTTCAAAAATAACATAATCTCTCGCAACTCCCACAAGAATTAATAGGCAAATATACTCAAAAATATGCATTTTTCATCGTTTATCAGCAATGCACGAGAATTGGGCACACAAGTCGAGTTGAGTATGGTGTTTCATCTCACAGATAGACGTGCAATCCGAGCATACCATCTAGATCTTGGAGGACATGTTGCGAGCGTGTGTCATTGATTTTTAGGGCCAGTGGGATCAATTATTAACAGAGTTCGCCTAAAACAATAGCTATTAGTCAAGTATCGAGATGGCTCCTTATGAGGTCTTATATGGGAGGCACTGTCATTCTCCGGTTTGTTGGTTTAAGCCTAGGGAGGCTAGGTTGTTGGGCACTGATCTAGCTCGTTATGCTTTGGAGAATGTGAAATTGATTCAGGAGCAGCTTCGTACAACACAGTCTAGGCAAAAGAGTTATGCTGATAGGAAGGTTCGTGATGTGGAATTCACGATGGGTGAGAGGGTTCTACTCAGAGTTTCACCCATGAAGGGTGTGATGAGGTTCGGGAATAAGGGCAAGTTGAGACCTCAGTATATTGGTTGGTGAGGTGGCTTACAAACTTGCTTTTCCACCCAGCTTATCGGGGGTTCATCCTATGTTTAATGTTTCCATGCTTCGGAAGTATTATGAGGACCCGTCACATGTGTTGGATTTTAGCTCGGTGTAGTTGAACAAGGATTTGACTTATGATGATGAGTCGTTGTCCATTTTGGATAGGTAGGTTCGCAAGCTGAGATCGAAAAATATTGCATCGGTGAAGGTTCTGTGGAGAGGTCAACCGGTCGAGGAGGCAACTTGGGAGACCGAGCACATACCCTCATCTTTTTGATATCCCAAGTATGATTCTAAACTCGTTCGAGGATGAATGTTTGTTTAAGAGGGGGGAGAATATAACGACATGGCTAGTCATTTGTGTATTGAGCCCCGTTACCATATTTGATACTTTTCTATATACTTATTTGTGATTATGTGACTCGGGAAGGTTTTGGATTAAAATAGAACAATTAGTTTCTAGTTTGGAAGCTTAAGTTATAAGAGTTGACCGGAGTTTGACTTTTATGTAAACAACCTCGGAATGATATTTTGATGGTTCCAATAGGTTCGTATGGTAATTTTGGACTTAGGCGTATGTCCGGATTTGTATTTGGAGGTTTCTAGATTGATTTGGTTCTTTTTGGTAAAAGTTGAAAATTTGAAATTTTTGAAGTTCATAGGTTCAATTGGGAGTTGACATTGAGGCTATCCGGGTCAGGTTGTGGTTTCAAAAGTTGTAATAGGTTCCTTTGGTCATTTGGGACTTGTGTACAAAATTTGTGGTCATTTCGAGTTGTTTAGACGTGTTTGGCATAAGTTTGGAATTCAAAATTTTGGATTAGCTTATTAAGCTTGAATTGAGGTGCGATTCATAGTTTTGATATTATTTTGTGTGATTTGGGGCCTCGAGTAGGTTCGTGTTAGATTTTAGGACTTGTTGGTGTGTTTTGATGGGTTCACGGGGGCCTCAGGTGTGATTTGGATGGGTTTCAGACCATTTTTCTCATGTTTGGAGTTGTTGGTTTTCTGGTGCTGGTGCCTTTATCACGATCGCTGAAAGAGTAACACGATCACAGAGGGTGTTTTGGTTGCTGGCATTGTTTTCTCTTCATGTTTGTAATGGGAGTGTCGTGTTCGTGAAGCATAATGGGCAGTGGCTTTCACATTCGCGACCTGGACGTCGCATTCTCGTAAAGGGAAGGCTGGATGAGGTTGCCAAGCTTTTGGCCTTTGCGTTCGTGGCGCCGTTGCCGGGGACTTAGAAATTAGCTACTTGTCTGAGTTAAGACTTTATTAGTTATTTGTTCAAGTTTTAATTTTCAGTTTGCCTTGTTTGTGTTAACGCAGGCTCTTCTCTTGAATGTAGAGGAGTAGAAGCGCAAACAACCTCCTTCCTCTTGATCCGGAAATTGAACGAACACTTCACAAGCTGAGGAGGGAAGTCGAAGCTAGAACTAGAATAGAAAGAGAGTTGGACATCGTAGTTCAACCACAACCACTAGAGATGGCAGGTAATGAAGAGCGGCCTGTGATAGAAGCCGCTAGGCCCAATCTTGCTAATATGTCTCAAGCTATTGTGAAGCGTGATATCACGGGTCATTTTGAACTCAAACAGTACATGGTCTAGCTGATTCAGTCCACAGGGCAGTATGTGGGGTCTATCTCATGAAGACCCGCAGCGGCATATTCAGAACTTCCTAAAAATTACGGATACTTATAATTATCCGAACGTCTCCAAGGATTATGTCAGGCTGACATTAATCCCCTTTTCACTATTGGGGGAAGCCAAAGAATGGTTGCAAAAAGAGCTCACGAACTCGATCCACACTTGGGATGATCTAGCAAGAAAATTCTTAATCAAGTTGTTTCCCACTAAAAAGACAAAGTCGCTGAGGAGCCAGATTCTTGGGTTGCAATAATGGGATGGCAAGACTCTTCGTCAAACTTGGGAAAGATACAAGAAGCTACTCAGAGACTGCCCAAATCATTATCAGACTGATGAGGTGTTGGGTCATACTTTCGTTGATGGGTTAGACGAGACATCAAAGATGAATCTTGATTCAGATTGTGGGGGTAGTTGCATGGCAAGGATGTATAGTGAAATTCAACTCCTGCTAAACAATTGCACTGCTAATGATAATAACTGGCAAGAAGATGGGGAATCACGAAGAGCACTTAAATAGAAGGAAGCAGGTGTAATTGAGCTTGATGATTTCTCCGCCAAAAGAGCAGATATAGCGAAATTAACAAATCAGATGAATAGAATGACAATGCACCAAATGCAACAGATGCAACATGTGCAACAGATGTCGACTTGTTGTGAGTTATGTGGTGAAGGTCACACGAGTGACATATGTCCCACGAATCCTGAATTCATCAATTATGTGGGGCAATAGAGCAGGGGTCCGATGAATCAGCATGCACAATATGGGAACACTTACAACCCAAATTGGAAGAATCACCCTAACATCTTCTGGGGTGGAAATCAGGCAACTCAAAATCATTATAGACCCCAAGGAAATTACAGTCAACCTCAGAAGCCACCCCAGCAAGTTGAGGAGAGTACAAATGACTTGTTAAAGAAGTTGTTGCTTGACAATCAACAACTCAGGACCGATTTCAAAAATCTTGAGAGGCAAGTTGGGCAGTTAGCATCAAATCAAAATAACAGGCATGCAGGCGCTCTTCCTAGTGATACAGAGAAGAACCGTCAAGTCAATGCAGTCACACTCAGAAACGGGAGGGAATTAGAAGAAGTGCCAAAGAATAGAAGAGATAAGCCTACACCTGAGGGGGAGTTGATTCCTAAGGCAACACCCGAGTCAAATAAAGATGATGCAAGTTCAGAGCCAGTGATGCAAGGCCACCACCACCTTTCCCCCAAAGGTTACAGAAGAAGAATGATGATCGCATGTTTAACAAATTTCTCTCTATGTTGAGCCAGGTTAAATTAAATATTCCATTGTTGGATGTACTTAATGAAATTCCATAATATGCTAAGTACATCAAAGATATAGTGGCTCACAAGAGGATATTGACTGAATTTGAGACAGTCGCACTTACTGAGGAGTGCACTTCGAGGGTCCAAAACAAGCTTCCACAAAAGCTTAAGGACCCTGGTATCTTTACCATCCCTGTGCGGATTGGTAATATTGATATGGGGTGTGCTCTTTGTGATTTGGGGGCGAGCATAAATTTAATGCCCTTGTTCTTGTTCAAGAAATTGGGTCTGGGAGATCCAAGACCAACCACTGTGATGTTGCAACTAGCTGATAGATCCATAGCTTACCCTGAAGGAGTGATGGAAGATGTGTTGTTGCAAATTAGGAAATTCATCTTCCCAGTGGACTTCATTATCCTAGATTATGAGGCTGATGAACAAGTTCCAATCATATTAGGACGACCTCTCTTGGCTACAGGTGATGCAATTATTTAAGTAAGAGAGGGGGAAATGATTATGAGGGTGGACAACAAGGAAGCGGTTTTCAATGTCTACGAGGTGATTCAACTTCCCTGCCATTATGAGGAGCTCTCTATGATATATGTTGTGGAGGTGGATGAGAAACTGATATATCAGAATGTATATCTAGACAATTCTCTAGAGAAAGCACTCATGTTGTTCGACAGATTGGAGATTGATGACGAGGTTAAGGAGATGATGCATATACTAGATGCATCATATGTCTATATGCAAGGATTAAACCACTTTGAGCCCTTAAATAGGCCGAGTGGGCCTCCGCCAAAGTCGTCGATTGAAGAGGCTCCAAAATTAGAACTTAAACCCTTGCCCCTTACCTTCAATATGCTTATTTGGGTGGTTCTGACAATCTACCTGTTATTGTTTCCTCTGACTTGTCTAAATTGCAGAAAGAAAAGTTGTTAAGAGTACTGCGTGAGCACAAGCGAGCTATTAGGTGGATGATGTCTGACATTAGAGGCATTAGGCCTGCCTTCTACATGCATGAAATCCTCATGGAGGATGGACACAAGCCAAGTGTAGAGCACTAGCGCTGCCTAAATCCAATCATGAACGAGGTGGTAAGAAAAGAAGTGATTAAGTGGCTCGATGCAGGTATTGTATTTCCAATCTCTGATAGCAAATGGGTAAGCCTCGTCCAATGTTTGCCTAAGAAGGGGGGTTGACTGTAGTGGTTAATGAAAATAATGACTTGATTCCCACAAGAACTGTGACAGGGTAGAGAATTTGCATAGATAATAAAAAATTGAGCAATGCCACCCGCAAGGACCACTTCCCCCTCCCTTTCATTGACCAAATGCTTGATAAACTAGCTGGAGAGGAATACTATTGTTTCCTGGATGGCTATTCGGGGTATAATTAGATTGCTATAGCCCTAGAGGACTAAGAGAAGACCACATTTACGTGTCACTATGTCACGTATGCGTTTAAGAGAATGACATTTGGTCTCTGTAATGCACATGCGACTTTTCAAAGGTGTATGATGGCTATTTTTACAGACATGGTTGAACGATTTGTAGAAGTGTTCATGAATGACTTTTCTGTGTTTGGGTGTTCTTTTGATAATTGTTTAATGAACCTTGATAAAGTACTTGCTAGGTGTAAAGAGACAAACTTGGTGCTAAACTGGGAAAAGTGTCATTTCATGGTACGAGAAGGTAGTCTTGGGGCACAAGGTGTCCAAAAATGGTTTGCAGGTGGACAAGGCAAAGGTGGAGGTGATTGAAAAATTTCCCCCACCAACATCCGTTAAGGGCATTCGTAGTTTCTTGGGCCATGCAGGTTTTTATTGTCGTTTCATTAAAGATTTTTCAAATTCTCCTTTATGCAGGTTTCTTGAGAAAGATATCCCCTTCAAATTTGATGATGCTTGTTTGAGAGCATTTGAAGAGCTGAAGAACAGATTAGTGACTGCGCCAATTATCATTGCCTCGGACTGGGCGCAGCCATTTGAGTTGATGTGCGATGCGAGTGACGTCGCAATCGGAGCTTTTTTGGGGCAAAGGATGGATAAAAGTTTTCACTCCATTTACTACGCGAGCAAAACTCTAAATCTAACCCAGATGAACTACACTGTTACTGAAAAGGAATTTCTTATAGTGGTGTGGGCGTTTGACAAATTCAGATCTTATCTAGTGGGAACCAAACTCATAGTCTACAACGATCATTCAGCTATAAGGTATTTGTTTGAAAAGAGATACGTCAAGCCGAGGCTGATTCGTTGGGTCCTCTTTTTGCAAGAATTTGACTTGGCGATCTAAGATAAAAAAGGAACAGAGAATCAAGTGGCTGATCACTTATCCAGATTAGAAAATTGGAACCATATGGCTGAGGGAGGTTTGATTAAGGAAACATTTCCGGATAAGCAGTTATTGACAATCACCTCGAGTGAAGCCCTGTGGTATGCTGACTACGTGAATTTTATTGCAAGTGGGGTGATGCCACAAAAATTGACACCTGATAATAGAAGAATATTTCTACATGATGTGAGGCTCTACTGGTGGGACGAGTCATCCCTGTATAAGTAGTGCGCAAATCAGTTAGTACGAAAGTGTGTTCCTGAGGAGGAGATGAATGCAATCTTGCATGACTGTCATGCATCTCCATATGGAGTCATCACGGTAGGGATAGAACCGCCCAAAAAGTGCTGCAATTGGGTTTCTATTGGCCAAAATTATTTAGGGATGCACACGCCTTTGTTAAACAGTGTGACAGGTGTCAAATAACCAGAACAATCACGAAGAAGCACAAGATGCCTTTGCAAAACATTCTGGCAGTAGAGATCTTTGATGTTTGGGGATTGATTTCATGGGACCGTTCCCATACTCTAATGGTCACAGATATATCTTGTTGGCAGTCGACTATGTATCTAAGTGTGTGGAGGCCATTGCTCTTCCTACTAATGACGTAAAGGTAGTGGTAAACTTTGTAAAAAAGCACATCTTCACACGCTTTGGGACTCCAAGGGCGCTGATAAGTTACGGAGGAACTCACTTCTGTAACAAGTTGTTGAACAACGTTCTAGCAAAGTATGGAGTTAAGCACAAGGTTGACACCGCCTATCATCCCCAAATGAGTGGTCAAGTGGAAGTGTCAAACAGAGAGGTGAAACAAATTCTGGAGAAAACGGTGAGTGGAAATAGGAAGGACTGGGCCGTAAATCTTGATGACGCATTATGGACGTATCGAACTGCATACAAGACTCCCATTGGAACATCTCTGTATAAGTTTGATTTATGGGAAGGCGTGCCATTTTCCTGTCGATCTTGAATATAGCCTATTGGGCAATTAAAAAGCTAAATATGGATATGGACTTAGCCGGAGAGAAGATGTTGCTTAAGCTCAATGAGCTTGATGAGTTTCGATTGCACGCATACGAAAATGCCAAGTTGTATAAAGAAAAGACCAAGAGGTGACATGATAAGCGCATCCAACATCGCGAGTTTGAACTAGGTCAAGAAGTTCTCTTGTTTAATTCAAGGTTGAAACTTTTCCCCGGAAAGCTTAAATTTCGATGGGTGGGTCCTTTTGAAGTGGTTAGTGTAAAGCCTCATGGAGCGGTGGAATTGTGTGATACGAGTTCCAGTGCGACATTCTTGGTAAATGGGCAGAGAGTAAAACACTATTGTGGTGGTAACATTGCACATCACAAGACCTCGATGGACTTGGCCGATGCGTGAAGAACTTGTTGCGTCGTGCCGCGACGTTAAATCAGGGGCTTCTTGGGAGGCAATCCACGCATTTTCTTTTGTTTTTCGTAGTTTGTTCATTTTTCCCGTTTGTTTTGTATTTTTTATTTTTTTAGGATTTCCTTAATTTTTTTATTTTTGTAGGAATTAATTCTTGTATGTATTTATAAAAAAATAACAACAGGTAGGGGAAAATAGGGTGGATGCGTCGCATCCCCCTTACCATCCAAAAATTAAAGGCCAACTGCACGAGGCAGTTAAGAGCAGCCATAGCGTCCGCAATCGCGTCCGTAAAATTTCAAAGAAATTAGTTGGGATGTGTCGCGTCCAAGCTAGCATGCAACAAGTAAGTGTTATAATGTTATTACACTTCACTAGTCTTAAAAACCCAACTCCTTCTCCCACCTGTTTCCTCTCAACCCAAACGCAACCTCCTCTCACTACTGCTGCGTGATTTGATCAAGCATTCAAGTATGTGCTTCGTCTTCCTTTCTCCCTCAACTATCATCTCTTCCTGTTTCTCTAAGTAGCAGAATCACTTCCCCAAATTCCCCTAGGTTAGGCCTCACCAACTTGAATACTATACATGAAACTAGGAGGGGAACTGAGAAAAGGTTTGAGGCTTGGGGTTGTCGCTTCTGTTGGTTGTTGATGTTTAATGATGACAAACTATAATTCCCGTCATCTAAATAATTTTTGGAGGCAATTAATTAATATACAAAGAAAATATGAAATAGTTAATTAAACTAGAGATCGACTGAAATTCGTAGGCAATTGCGAATAACAATCAATAGGAGAGGATATTTCAGGGTCATAGGCTAGCTAACAATTTTGTTGCGTTCTCGGCTTAAGCTGACTAATTGATTTATCTGGTTTGTTGATTGACATGGTTAATGTTACTCGTAAAAATCTGTCGAGTCCTTACTCGCCTATTCAAGTTAACTTAATGCCTATATGTCTATGTAATTAAGACTAACAAGAACGCATTTACACTTCCTGTGTTTCCAACCAAGCAAGACAATTAGGTATATTTCTATCATAATTGTGAATCAGTTCCCCGATGCCCGGGTTCAAAAACTTGCTCTATTTAATCCTATATGCAATCTAGAATTTCCACTTTCGAGTTCAACTCTAGATTCGTAGATAGTATTCCACTGTTAGCTATGCAGCAAAATAATTAAAAACAGAATTAAATAAACAACCCAATGTGATAAAATACAACTCGTCAATTCAAACTTCAAACATCAACATTCATGTAGCACCCATGACCCCAGAACTAACGCGTTTAGCCACGCATGCTCATGGTAGCAATATCAAGTATTTTCCAAAAATATATAAAATCAATAAAAGAGGGAAAAAGTAAGAACTCAAGACGAATTCCATGATTTCCAAACTTTGTGATGGCTTTTCTCCGCTTCCCTGTGTGTTAGATGACCTAAAAGAGGCGTTTTTGGCTTATATATTGCGTACAAAAGTCGTGGGATAAAGTTTTCATTTTCCTATTCCGTCTCAGCTTCAGCTTCTCAGCATCGCATGCTGGGGTGGATGCTTTGCATCCATCCTCTCTTCCTTCATCTCTGATGTGCCCAGGTGCGGATGCTAAGGCAGATGCCTTAGCCCGACTTCACTGCTAGGGGTGCACCAAATACACTTTTTTCCTAGGTTGGATGCGACTTCTCCTATAGCTGGAGTCACCGTTTAATCATATATTTGCACTCCAAACACCCTAAATCATCACACAATACTCAATTAGTCATAAAACTAATAATT